CTCAAAAAAAAAAAAAATAATAATAATAATAATAAAATAATTAATAGAATGGCTAGGCATGGTGGCTTATGCTTGTAATCCCAGCACTTTGTAGGGTGGTCAGGGTCAATCACCTGAGCTCAGTAGGTTGAGACCAGCCTAGGCAACATGGCAAAACCCTGTCTCCACAAAAAATACAAAAATTAGTCAAATGTGGTGATGGGTGTCTGTAGCCCCAACTGTTTTCGAGACGAGACTGAGGGCAGGAGGATCACTTGGGCCCAGGAGGTGGAGGCTGCAGTGAGCCATGTTAATACTAGTGGGCCGGGGTGACAAAACATTTATATATATATATAAATGATTGATTAGTGTATTGAGATCTTCCTTATTCTAATATTCCATGTTATTTTGGAAACTGTAGCTTTCCCTCAATTTATAAGAATTAAAGGGTCTAAAGTTCTTCCACTCTATAGGATATTTTAAACTACAAAAATTATTCTTTAAAAAAAAAAAAGGCAAAGAAAAGAGCTTAAAACATGAGAAATTTTTTTGTACTTATGGCTTATTGCTCTGTAGAAATTCTGGAGACAGAATTACAGATAATAGATCCACAAAGAATCTAGTACAATCATTATCATATATTGTGTATGTATATTGTATATACAGTAATAGAATAATCTTCATTATTCCTTTTTGTTACAGTGTAACTTAAGCTACTTTTTAATCTTTTTGCCTTTGTGACTATCACCATAGTATATTCTGAAGACTAAAGTTAACCCAAGATGCAGAACAATGTTTTAATTTAATGAAAAATCTAGGCCAATATGAAGATAAAAACTCAGACTGAAAAACTTCAGCTGGGTGGGATGGCTCATGTCTGCAACCCCAGCTATAGAGCTGGGGAGGAGGAGGCTGGTGGATCACCTGAAGTCAGAAGTTTGAGACCAGCCTGGCCAATGTGGTGAAACCCCGTCTCTACTAAAAATACAAAAATTAGCTGGGTGCAGGCAGCAAATCACACTGCCATGTGTGTACCTATGCAACAATCTTGCATGTTCTTCTCATGTACCCCAAAACCTAAAATGCAATTAAAAATAAATAAATAAAAATAAAATTAGCTAGGTGCAGTAGCTCACACCTGTAATCCCAGCACTTTGGGAGGCCAAGGTGGGTGGATCACCTGAGGTCGAGAGTTTGGCACCAGCTTGACCGACATGGAGAAACCCTGTCTCTACTAAAAATACAAAATTAGCCAGACGTGGTGGTGCATGCCTGTAATCCAAGCTACCTGAGAAGCTGAGGCAAGAGAATGCCTTGAACCCAGGAGGTGGAGGTTGCAGTGAGCTGAGATCACATCATTGCACTCCAGCCTGGGCAACAGAGCGAAACTCCATCTCAAAAAAAAAAAGTAGCTGGGTGTGGTGGCATACACCTGTAGTCCCAGCTCCTCAGGAGGCTGAGGCGGAAGAATCACCTGAACACAGCTGGCAGAGGTTGCAGTGAACTGAGATGGCATCACTGCACTCCAGCCTGGGCGACAGAGCAGACTCAGTCTCCAAAAAAAAAAAAAAAAAAAAAAAAAAAAAAAGGTGTAGGAGGCAATGTAATAAATGTTCTTACTGAGCTTTGG